TATTAAAGGCTTTAACGCTTGTTTTCGACTCGCACTACTATTCATGATTGAACAAAACTTTTGGCAGGTACTGTATGAAAAAGTATGTTTAATGAACAAGAGTCGAGAGTATAATGAGCTTTTTTCTCCCTACCTACGATTTTGACAGCGCGCATCCATGACATTGGAAGGGGCACATCGCTACAGAAAGTAAATGAAGTATACCATTTCGTTTGTTTATTTGAATTTCGTCAATTTTCTAAAAACTAATCAAACCAACATCCTAATTTTTTCAAAACATATTGGTGATAGAATAATAGGAGTGTGTATAATTGAATGAACAGTTTATATAATATTATATCACCTTCAGCGGTTTTATTTATTTTCCCCCATGGTCCATTTCTTCCTAATATTTCGTAGAGCACAATTCCGAAAGAATAGACATCTCCCTTCTGTGTTCCTCTGGAAGGAGCATGGGGGTAAAGTCTTAACAGTTCCGGGGCTCTCCATAGAGCTCTTCGTAATTCTTTTGCTTCCGTTTCCGAAGTATCTTCACCGGCTGTTTATATTTTGTTATAAAAAAGACGTACATGATATAAAACGTTTATTAATTTAGGCATATAACATTTCTTAAAGTTGGATTTCATATATCTACCAGAAGTGAAACATTTTCCCCATTTTTAGGAATTTATCTGTTCGGAATTATATTTGAAACGAATATTGTTAAAAGTTGGTAACGTTCCGACCATTGCACCGCGCACCGTTCGACCGTTGCACCGCGCACCGTTCGACCGTTGCACCGCGCGAACAGTCGCCCGTTGCACCGCGCAAACGATGCGACGGCAGGTTGAGTAGTTTTTCTTAAGAATTCTCATTATTTCGGAAAAAGTTTTAGGTAAAAGTTGTGCCTATGTTTTGAAAGGGGAAAGGTTCTTGGATGTGACCTTAACTTTGACATATATATTTCCAAAATAATGAGATCTAATCAAGATAAATGACTCATCCTGATATGCGTATTTAATAACGTGAGTACATGTACTATTTGTCAAATTAAAGGTCTCCGCATTCTACATTCACAAAAAATGTGTGCAGAACGATTGACTACACGGCAAAGAAGTTCGCAAACATTTCGCGAATTTCATGAATAATATCGAATGAAAGATGCAAAGTATCGAAAAGCTTGTTGTTAATACGAATTTTAATTATTCATAAGAAAAGGGCGATGATATTTACTTTGGAGAACGTCCCTTCTTTTTACAATTCAAACTAATCCATCAAATACATAATCTAATGTAGGTTACCCCCACATAATGCTTCGTACTGATAAATGAAGTTTTTTTAGTACATTCTTTGGAAATTAAATATGCATTACCCTCTTAAATTTCAGTAGTAGAGGCGGATTTCTTTTTAAAATTGGAGCAATATCGTCTTCTATCAAAGCACAAATAAATTACTCTACCATATTACAACATCCACTTTAAAAGGGAGAATTAGTTTTTTTTTATCAAAATAAAAATGTTTGAAACTTAATGTTGGACTTTTTTGTAACGAGAACTTTCCCTTTCGTCTAGAAACCTTCAGATCATTAAAAACATAGATATATACAATGTGTCCCAAAAAGAAGCGCTCAAACGAAAAGTCATCTTTAGAAAATCTATATTTTTGGGGTTGCAATCACCTAGTTCTTGTGCGCCAGGCTTTTGACTTTGGAAAATAGTGTGATTGCGAGATTCCGTTATAATTCGTGACGTCGATCATTTTTAATAAAAAAATAATTTATTAAGACTTCACCATACACCTTATCAATCCCAAAATAAATCGCTCTTCGATCGCGTTTATGCATCAGTTGCATTTTCCTTTACATTGCATGGCGATAACTTCAAATGGTTGCCTATATTTTCACTTCCTTTTGGGACATATTGTATATACTTAAGTATCTATTTGTTATCATTATTTTAATAAGAAGCTGTTTGTTTTTGTACTTACCCTTAAATTCGTGAAGTCCAAAATCGGTTATTTGAAGAACCCATCGGCTATCAATTAGACAGTTACTAGATCTAAAGTTTCCGTGTGAAATAATTTCACTTTCATGAAGGTACATTAACCCCTATTATGGAAGGTAGAAAAAACAAGAGTGTAAAATTGTTTATTGAAATTAAGACAGAAAGAATTTTGCTCATGACTACAACGATCTTAAGAAGTGATTTTTTTATGTGAGACTACGGGTAGCGTTAGTGACTAGTGATGCTGAGTAAATTTATTAAAAAAAACTGTTAGAAGACCTTATGGTGATGATGATGATGATACTTTACCTTCAGCATGTCAGATACCAAAGACGAAATGAACATTTTGTCCAGGTGTAAGTCAGTGTTGGCCAAGACGTCTTCTAAACTTCCCCTAGCACAGTAAGCCGTTATAACAGCCACGTTGCCAGGGTCAACACAAGCGCCAATAAATTGTATCAAGTTTTCGTTTCGAACTTCCCTTATCTAAGAAAACAAAAGCGCAAATGGAGAAACTGCTATTTTTCTTTATTTCAGTGTAGTAGTCAAGAAGTCTTCATTTAACATTTATGGCAAACTATATTTTTAGGTTTCCTTTAAAACGGGTGTTGGCCTTTAAAACTTTTTAATTAAGCTAACAAATGCTGATGCGATCAGGTAAGATCGAAATGTCGATCTCCGTTAAGTTACTGACCAAAAATTTAATCGATTCTTTAATTATTTTCCATGATTTACTAATGTTCGTTACGTGTCATTTCTCTAATCGCGAACGGTTAATTTAGAAATTCGAAAACGGTTGTTAAAGGTGTATGTTTGGAGCACGGCGCTGTATGGGTGCGAAACATGGACAGTGGGTGCGGCGGAAAAGAAAAGGTTAGAAGCGTTCGAAATGTGGTGTTACAGGCAAATGATGAGGATAACGTGAGTAGAAAAGGTTAGAAATGAAGAGGTATTGGAAAGAATAGGAGAACAGAGGACTCTATGGAAGACAAGGCGAGATAGGTTGGTAGGACACCTTTAGGGAAATGCGAAGATTAACTCAGAATAGAAAAGAGTGGAGGTGCGTGTCCAATCAGTCTTAGGACTGACGACCTTATAATGATTATGATGACGTTACCTGTTTAAGTTCTTTTCTTATCGATCGTGTCAAGTCAACTGTCCTTTTGTGAATTTTTTTGATTGCCACAATACTCCCTTTGTATATCCCGATACGCGTGTAAGCTCGTTTCGGCGTTGACTCGCCCCCATCACAACTACCAATGGGCACTCGAAATACACTTTGACGGTATACTTGAATCTGAAATGTAATTTGGTATCATAAAAATGAAAATTGAGCATTCAAAATAGTATACAAAGAAAAAAAGTGTTATATCTATCTATCGAAAATTGTATTTGATTTTAAGTGTGTCAACTTATTGAAAAGAAATCTAGATTACGGCACCGTCCAGGGTGCCGGTACACAAACTTAAGCACTTGATCAATTATAGGGTATTATGTGACATTAAAAGCGCTCGAAATACAGCGGTCCCCCCCTCGAATGTAATGTTAAAGTCGAAACGGGGCAATGAGCTGTCTTTGCTCACTATCGCACTTTTTACAGTTTTAGTATGGACAGTAGGGTGCTTCAAACAAAATTTTTAATTTTTTTTCTAACTCTTACCCCTCAAATGTTTCTATTTGATGTAAAAAAAATCCTCGCCAAACATGGGCCTTATAGCTTAAATCTAAGGGGTCGCTTTTCCATTTAATTTACATAAGAAAAATTGTTTTTTTTTCAAATTGAATTTACACCTAATTTACGCAATTTTTCCCGAAACCTGTTTCATATTCTCAAAGTTGAGTCCTTGAGCTTTACAAAACTCTAGAACAGAGTGTGATTATCTTTACAAATTCCCAAACTGTACCAAAACAACACTTGCCACTGCAGAATAAATCAAATTAATAACTTAACGGAAAGGCGTATTTTTCTTAACTGCTATAATGTGCTCTAATTATCATTAATAAAAAACTATCAACTAGAATGAACATGTTCAATTTTTTTGTTGGATAATTAATATAAACTAATATGGAACAAAATTATAATCCATGATTACTTGTAATCATACGATTAATTCATTTATCTTATTATTATCATGTGTGCTGCCACCTACACTACGTACTGAGAACCATTTTTGAAATTCGTAATATATAAAAATACAATACTGACTAATAGTTTGATTACNAAAGCTCAAAGACTCAACTTTGAGAATATGAAACGGTTTTTTGGAAAAAATTGCGTAAATTATGTGTAAATTCAATTTAAAACAAAAAAGAATTTTTCCTATGTTAATTAAATGGGAAACTAAAATAAAAATAGCGACCCCTTAGATTTGAGCTATAGGGCTCATGTTTGGCGAGGATTTTTTTTACATCAAATGGAAACATTTGAAGGGGTAAGAGTTAGAAAAAAAAATTAGAAATTTTGTTTGAAGCACCCTAATGTACAGGGTGTAAAAGTGAGTACATAAACTCGTTTTTAGTGGTTGCAAACATACTTGGATGTTCCCTTACAATTAGCAAACATTCACCTACCATGCTTTTATGATTCCCTGTAGATGATTCTACAGTTTCCGTTGGAATTACTATAATATCTTTTACATCTATTTTCCATAGTACGCACGCCAGTTTGTGTTCGTACCGATAATATCTATAACAATTTTCAAAAAATCAAAATAATTATAAACGTTATTTCTTATGTATTTAGGTTTTGATATCGTGTCCTCTGTTTGACCCTTAATTAATCGATTCAAAGTTTTCTGTTATTACACTTACTTGATAATGAACAGGGTCGTAATTAGGAAAATAAAGGTAGCGAATGTGGTGACAGAAATCAGTCTCCAGTCTAGCTTATAAACGCACTTTTCTCCTAGGAACCCACAAGGAGGCTCGGCCGGGGGTAATTTTCCCCCCAACCAACGGATCGGTTTGGAATCGTTAATGTATCGAAATTCCTTTAAAAATAAAGTAAAAATCAAAATTGTTTAGGTAATATTGGGATCCGTCAAATGGGAGGAGCCTAAAAACATGGCGCCGATTAGGGAAAATTTATCGTGGTTCCTATAGTATACCTTGCAATTTCCAAGTTTTTAAATTACGATAAAATGATAAGTATTGACACAATATGTGATTGGGCTGACACAAAGCCTCGGAAAGGAAATTTCGTTGAAGGTGAGCGTGTTTTTAATGCCAATCACATTATAAAATTCGGAAATAACAAATCCGGAAGCTAGCCTTCAAATTCCGTCAAGTTTACTGCCTACTTTTTACAAACTTCGGATTTAAAAAGTGATTCACGTTATATAATTGGTGAGGTGATTCTGGGTGATTTAAGCAATATCATATCAATGACTTGCACGTGCAAAGCCGATTTAAGAGAACGTTGCAAACACATTATTGCAACTTTGTTGTATTGCAGCAGGTAGGTTCTTAACCTCAAAATACTTATATCGTATCATTAGAATTGTGTTAAATCAATTACACAGGAATAAATAATTTCTCACTTTATAATTTTAGTATGATTCTAGTTTTAAATATTAAGGTTATGGCTGATGGTAAATACTTGCTGAAATATAATCATGTGCATTAAAATGACGTGAACAAATTTTTATTCCGGAATTCACTTCTTTGATACCTACTGCTTTCATCCAAGCTTCTATTAGTTTACTTTTTTCTCTAATTTTCCGAAAATATTTTTTACATATATAAAACGGTTAGTTTTTATTGGAAAGTAGTTAATGTAGGTGAAGAGTGAAGATCTATGTCTGAAGTGCTATTGCAGCTTTTCACTGAACATATCAACTTTTTATTTGATTTAACTTTAGAAGTAAACTTCGTCGACTCCATCATCAAAAAAATTTTTACTTTTTTAACGTGTTTTATTATTTTAATAAACAATTTTACAATTTGCGTGCACAGTTCCTATGTAAATTTTTCCCTCATTCGAGTTATAAATTTTGCCACCAGATGGTGTATGCCCATTTGACGGATCCTAATAGTTTGCTTTTACAAATATCAAAGTTAAAAGCCTTAATAATTTTGTTTCCAACTTTCGCAATCGTCGTTAATTTAGCTTGAAATTCGGGTTGTTTAAATGATTTTGTGAATTAACATACCGGTAAATCCTCTGGATGAATATTCCCACCGGATTTATACTGGAAATAACCCACTGGTTGCATACTCATGCGAAAGCTCCCATTTAACTCGGCGTCATCCATCAGTACCACTATGGTAAAGTTACCTTCCGCATCTCCATTTCCATCAATATACACCTTAAATTATAGACTAAAGAGAGATAGTCATATATTTCTGTCTAAGTGTTAGATACGCCCTCACAGTTTTTACAATTTTAATATCATGCACCCTTCCTTCCCTTTACACTCATGCTATTCCCAAATAAGACTATCTAAAATTCTGGGAAAAAACGGACAGACAGACACACGAGTGATTTATAACGGTTCCGTTTTTCATTCTGACTTAAAAAGAAAAAAGGTTCAGCTTCGGCCGGGAATGGAGACCTAGCCCGCCTGTATGCAAACCAAGTATTTATATCACTGATCCATTTACGCTTGTTGTAGATTGCTACATTAGTATACTTCATTTACTTTACTTTCTCTAGCGATGTGCCCCTTCCAATGTCTTGGATGCGCGCTGGCAAAATCGTAGGTAGGGAGAAAAAAGCTCATTATACTCTCGCCTTTTGTTCATTAAACATACTCTTTCATACAGTACCTGCCAAAAGTTTTGTTCAATCATGAATAGTAGTGCGAGTCGAAAACAAGCGTTAAAGCCTTTAATATGTCCTCAAATATAAATAAACATCTCATTGATATTTTCAAAAGTAATTGGTACCAATAACAGCACATTTGTGCAATGAAATTGTAGTGGATAAAATGGTCAATTTTTCCGTGCAGTACTGTACGGATTATACGCTCCTCACTGGTTAAGAGTTTGGCCGAGAGTCGTCTCCTTCCTTTTCTGACCTAATGCTGTTCTTTTCTACTTTGCGCCGGTCAAACTGAAGGTCACATCGCAACAGAAAGTAAACGAAGTATAGCTCGTGCTGGTACCGCGTATATTTCCGGATTTTACGGTAATCTAAGAACCTAGGTGTTGGTGTTCAGTATATTTAGTAATATCGAGTCCAGAATTAGTTCCTACATCACACCCGAATATTAAACCCTCTTCAGACCCTATTGAATATTTCTAGCCTGCCTTTTACTGATGTTGAATAATAATCGTTTAAAAATTTTCAAATATATTATTGAAATTCTACTAGTAGGTAGATAAATAATCTAAAATTCTTGTTTCCGCTGTTTTTTTTTTACTTTCTCTTTTGTAGCCTTGAAAGTTATAATTTCTTCCCGGGCAGACGTTTTAAAATGTATAAGGTAAAATATGGTGTTACTATTTTAAATTGGTATAAAAAAAAGCAGAAGTATCTTACAGTAAAGTTAAACTTTTTCTTACGTCGAATCCCTGTATCGAACGATACGATTTATTGGATATGCGTCTCACAATGTTTGCCCCATCTTTGGGGTTCTCCTCGTTAGCGAAAACTTCGGTTAATGCCTTCGCATAAATCATTACGGCATCGTATAAATAAGCTGCTTCAATAGGGACCTGACATGAAAATAATAATAATAATAATGCAAATGGAAACTAATGAACGCATTATCTAATTAGAATTGTTACAAAAAAAAATATTTTCGCTTACCGAAATACTTTTAAATATTCGTTGATGGTAGGGCACACAGAAGGGTGGTTTTGTAGACCAAGACTTTATAGCCTCTCCGATTTTCCTAACAGTAATAAATAAATTGTGATTAAATTAAGGTTTTTTAAATTAGAGTATTGCCGTTTTACCCATATTCGGAATTGGTTGGGTATGACGGGCTAATTTTTAATACGGAACGAAATCCAGTTAGATCTGTCCCGTCTTTCCAAGGATTTGAAATAAAAGGATCCAGATACTCTTTAAAAATCAACAATATTAATACTTAATTATAAATTGTAATTCATCGCCAACAACACCTAATATTAGTTGTAGTTTAGTTTAAACATGCATGTACCTACTAAAGACAATGTGTCTGAAATACGTTTATTTTCATGTGTCATGTCAGTATGAAAAAGTTAAACTTGTTAGTTCTAAAGTATACCATAATTGGTCGATAATTTGTTACCAAATCAAAAAACTTGTCGCTCCAGCTGGTTAAGGAAAAATAGCCTGATATTATCACTACTCATAGCATATCTCGAATTAAAAATAGCGTAGAGAAATTTATGGTATAATTTGTCGGTGAAAGAAAGTACCTTTACTCATTTTGTCACTAACCAAAATTTTTTTGGCCCACCGAGAAACAACTGGAGAGCCGACAAGGTAACATTCACTTAACGTATCTCGGAATAGAATTGGCATAGAGAAATGCTGTAAGGGCTATAACTTGTCGCTGAAAGGTGGTACTTGTACACATTTTGTCGTTAGCCTATACCGCTGTGGTCCAGCGATAAACGACTAGAGAATCGACAAAGTGACACTGCAAATACTGTAATTTGTCGTTGAAAAATGGTACATTGACCCATTTTGTCGTAAGGCTATCCTCTAACTGACAGTTGACGCTGCACATAGCGTATCTAGGAATAGAAATGGCGTAGAGAAATTCTGAGAGGGCTATAATTTGTCGCTGAAAGACAGCACACTCATTTTGTCGCGAGTCAAGCCTCAAGCTTGGTACCTTTACACATTTTGTCGTTAGCCTATACCGCTGTGGTACAGCGATAAACGACTAGAGAATCGACAAAGTGATACTGCAAAACTGTAATTTGTCGTTTAAAAATGGTACTTTGACCCATTTTGTCGTAAGGCTATCCTCTAACTGACAGTTGGCACTGCACATAGCGTATCTAGGAATAGAAATGGCGTAGAGAAATACTGTGAGGGCTATAATTTGTCGCTGAAAGACAGCACACTCATTTTGTCGCGAGTCAAGCCTCAAGCTTGGTACCTTTACACGTTTTGTCGTTGGCTTATACCTCTGTGGTACAGCGATAAACGACTAGAGAATCGACAAAGTGATACTGCAAATAATGTAATTTGTCGTGGAAAAATGGTACTTTGATCCATTTTGTCGTAAGGCTATCCTCTAACTGACAGTTGGCATTGCACATAGCGTATCTAGGAATATAAATGGCGTAGAGAAATACTGTGAGGGCTATAATTTGTCGTTGAAAGATGATGCTTTTACCCATTTTGTCGTAAATCTGTCCTATAGCAGTGAATTGGCACTGCACATAGCATATTTCGGAATAAAAATAGCGACAAATTATAGCACTTACGGTATTTCTCTACGCCATTTCTATTTTGAGATACACTATGTTGCTTGATATCAAACTAGGAATTCGTCTGTTTTCCAGTAACCATTTGGAGCGACTAAAGCTTCTTTGATGTATGTTTTATTCTATTACTTCTATTATTGTTGGACAGCTATAGTAGTCAACTTTAGACTTTTAAATGAGATACAAAAGTTGTAAGTTTGTTCTTTTAGTGTGTTACGTACATCTATTGAGACATTTAAAAATTTAAATGTTTTTTTTTCTTTCCTTTTAATGGAAAATATGTCAACGTACCTCTTCTTAATATATTGACTTTTCTGTTCGGATCGTAAATTTCATCATCAACAGATATAACCACATATTCGCCATACGACAAGAGGTTACGTCGTTGAAGGCATTTGATAAAATCTATGAGGGCTATATGCTCACCAACAAACACATATACTAAAACGAAATTGTGTTTTTAAATCATTTATGTGCGTGCGTGTATAGGGAACTGGAAATATAAAACGAAAAATGTATCTCATAAACCGTGGTAAGGAGATCGTCGAAATTTGATTACCTACTTATATCATCCCTTGAATATTTTCATCAGAAACAGAATTTAATATCCAGAAAAGGGAATTGAAAACCCTTGTCAATCAAGGAATAAGGAAAGGTATATGATTAGATTAAAACTTTAGATATTTTCTTTTGAAAGTATGCAATCAAAAAGTTATAAATAATAAAAAATAATTAAGAAACAATAACAAATTCTATGCAAAATACGTTAGTATTTGCAGCTTCTTGTTGCTATTTTTATGTTGTATTAAGATGGGCTAATCAGAAATCATATATTGTTGAAAGTTGTTGGCTAGTCAATCAGAATACACCTTCTCAGCTGCAAATTGAAAGTGCACCCGTTATCTAACAATAAGTTCACTTCATTTTGCAGAAAGCTAAGTGCACTTGTAATGGTTGACTTTGTTAATTGTTAACCATACGAGATCAAACAGTAGAACAATAATGTATTTCTAAACTTACTACGGGTTCTTTGATAAGTGTCTGCAACAATGTTGTCCATTTGCTCGATATGTTGTGGGATGTAATCAGTATAATAGGTCCTTATGTCAGTTATTACTAGACCATGAATAGCTGAAAGCTCCTGCAATACAGCATTATTACAATTATAGTTCTACAACTAATTAAGCATTAGTTGTGTGGCGAACATTTAGGTGGTCAAAAAAAAATTCAAGGTCATCCGGAATATGGGCCAATTTTGCGATAACATGTTCGGATAATAAAGAGGAAGGATGCGGGGACACTTATATCATCAGCTCTATCCCTTATTTCTAGTAGACTTTACACCTATTTGAAAATGTAATGTTCCCCTTGTTATCCGAACATACTAGCGTAAAATTTGACCACATTCTAGATAATGTTTAAATCTTTTGTTCAGCTATCGGACTAATTATATCAAAAAGAAATTAGGAAGCATATGTATGTATACAAGGTTTTAAAGTCAATCAGAATATGGATACATGTAGCAGTAACATGTTCGGATAATAGAGAGGGAAGTTGTGTAGCAAACATTTAGGTGGGCGCAAGGTTTTAAAGTCATTCGGAATATGAATAAATGTTGCAGTAACATGTTCGGATAATAGAGAGGGAAGTTGTGTAGCAAACATTTAGGTGGGCGCAAGGTTTTAAAGTCATTCGGAATATGAATAAATGTTGCAGTAACATGTTCGGATAATAGTGCGGAGGGTTATAGGGCCAGTATTATCCTCTGTTTGTACTCTTTGCTTGTAGTAGGCCGTCCGCCTGCTTGTAAATGTAAAGTCCCCCTGTTATCCGAACATGTCAACGTAAAATTTTTCCATATTCCTAATAATGTTTAAATATCTTGTCAAGTTCTCTGACTAATTGTAACAAAAAGAAGTTATGAAGCATGTGTATTGTGTAGCAAACATTTAGGTGGGCACAAGGTTTTAAAGTCGTTCGGAATATAGATAAATGTTGCAGTAACATGTTCGGATAATAGAGAGGGAAGTTACAGGGCCAACTTTATCCTCTGTTTGTACCCTTTGCTTCTAGTAGGCCGTCCGCCTGCTTGTAAATGTAAAGTCCCCCTGTTATCCGAACATGTCAACGTAAAATTTGTCCATATTCCAGATAATGTTTAAATATTTTGTCAAGTTCTCGGACTAATTGTAACAAAAAGAAGTTATGAAGCATGTGTATTGTGTAGCAAACATTTAGGTGGGCACAAGGTTTTAAAGTCGTTCGGAATATAGATAAATGTTGCAGTAACATGTTCGGATAATAGAGAGGGAAGTTACAGGGCCAACTTTATCCTCTGTTTGTACCCTTTGCTTCTAGTAGGCCGTCCGCCTGCTTGTAAATGTAAAGTCCCCCTGTTATCCGAACATGTCAACGTAAAATTTGTCCATATTCCAGATAATGTTTAAATATTTTGTCAAGTTCTCGGACTAATTGTAACAAAAAGAAGTTATGAAGCATGTGTATTGTGTAGCAAACATTTAGGTGGGCGCAAGGTTTTAAAGTCATTCGGAATATGAATAAATGTTGCAGTAACATGTTCGGATAATAGAGAGGGAAGTTACAGGGCCAACTGTATCCTCTGTTTCTACCCACTGTTTAGGTAGTTTTTGATAAATTCCTGCAATTAATGTAATTTGATGAGCGCTTCTAACACTATCTTATTTTATTTTTAATTATTAAGACGGTATGTTTAAAAATTCCTATCCGTTTACCTCAATGGCAGCCCGGACTTCACTGCCGGATCCTGGATGCGATCCTGATATTAAAACAAAACAATGCCAATCAAATGTCCTTAATAGGGCCACCACACTTTTTGAAACTTTGCTCGACGGGGGTAGTGTTCTGGCAAATGTTGGAAAGATATGCTTATCTGAAACGCTGGTATCGCTGCATTTCTGAAAATTATAAAGAAAATAGGACACGTGTCACCGATTCTTCATTTATTATTACTGTTCTTCTTTTTCGAAAATTTAATTTAACCCTTGTAATAATAATTTATCTTTAATTTCGCGAAGTATCCAAATAATATTAGCTTTATCATTTATGCTTTTATCAATAAAATAGTCCATTAAAAGTTTGAAACTTTAAATTACTTTGAAATTATTTGAAGACATGACCTAATACGTACACGGTTATTTACCAGATAAAACGATCGTTAAAATATTAATGAGAAGTAGTTCAGTGCCCAAAGAACTTAAAAAGTTACTTTCTACAACAGACTAATTGTTATTTTTCTAATTAACATTTTTAACTTAAAGGATACCCATTACCCATATTGAGTTTTTATCTCGTAAACTACAAATTAATTGTTTTTTTTTTATTTTCGTTTTCATCATTACCATCTTCATATTGTAGCGAGCACGAGTGTGTTTGTTTGCGATCGGGCACACGTGTTCGTTAACAGCTTATGGATTCGCCGACTAGCCGTGGGCGTCTTTCTTCGTGTGCGCCGTATTTGTAAATGTGTGTCGTACCTGCGTTCCGGGAAAGCAGTTAAACAGTTCAAAGAAAAAAAGAAACTATCCGGATGTTTCGAGTAGGCTCCCGAAAGTAAACAAAAAAGTATTTAAAGGAAGAGACGATCAGCGAGAGATGAAGAAATAAATTGACCATTGCAGAAGTGAATCGAGAAATAAATTAACAGTGATAGCAGTAAAATAAATAGAGCAGTGAATAGTGATATATTAATAATTAGTGTAAATAAATAGATTTTGTCGTTATCAGTCTTCGAAGTTAATTTTGTTAAATAAAATAATTCGAAGTGGTCCGTATTCTGTCGAACTGCAGGCAGTTCCGACAAAACACAGACCAACTTTTACCTGCTGTCTTAACAGTGCGTTTTAGAAAATAGTACAAATGGCGCAGTAAACGCCATCTGTAGCACGATGCTACATTTTAGGATTACGTATGCTCCAACAAGGTCCACTTGTGTGGATATCTACTTGCTGAAAACGAATCCCGGCGTAGCCAACCTCAACGTGATAGGCACGTTAGCTCAATCGAATAAAATAATTCGAAGTGGTCCGTATTCTGTCGAAACTGCCAGACGCGCTGATGAGATCCAAACAGATCGAAATCGCGATCCGCGTCTGGCAGTTTACTGCGTCATTTGTACTATTTTTTAATTTTGTTAAACCCACGAACATTACAATATGCTCGTCGCCTCGCCGGTCGAAACGTTTTTTAGACACCACCTCGCCTTTATCCAATACTGAGTCAATTTTCGTATTTCCCGAAAACTAAAACGCCACATATCCTTAACTATATATAATAGATACACATAATGGCTGAAGACAATGAGGTAGAAATACGCTTCGAATTCTGACTTCATCAATACTTGACAAGGTCCTTTTCGGTGATCTATTGAAACTGTTTACGGCACCAGCGTGCCGATGAGACCAAAGAGATCAAAATCGCGATCAATTTGTGACAATTCGGACAGACCAAGGACATTACCTAAGTACTTCTTTTATATTTTTAAAACAATCTGTATTTTTAATACGTCTTACGTATGAGATCATGGGAATATTCCAAGCTGCTGCAACCAAAGCTTCGGAAAAACACGTGTCATCTGGACCAATAAAAGCGATCGTGCCATTTTCTCTCATTGCCGTCATTATTTGGATGGCTTTAGCGGCTGACGATGATTTTTTCCGGTCGTACTCCTCGGAGTTTGCGTTAGAATTTGTTCCAATGTCAGCTGCTATGTAGTGCAATTTCTTTCCAGGAAGAAGATCTGTGAAGGAAAATTTAACTTTAAAATACCTAAGGTTCCATAAAATACCTAAAGTTCCAGGTTCGTATTGGCCTGTTGAATTGTTATGCAAAAAAAATGTAAAACCTCTAACACGTGTACATAAGTGTACACACCATTTCTTTTATTTGTCATTTATCGTAAATAGTTTCGAAAATAAATGGAGAATCATGTTTTTGTAGGACAATTTGAGGAATAGGTATATCTGGAAATATGACATCCAAAATTTCAAAAAAATTAGTTTTGACTATCTTGCCATAACCCACATGATATACCTAGACCTGTTTTATCCAAATTACATTGTGAGTGTCCTTTTAAGAAACTTTGAATTTTCAGTAACCGTTTTCGAGAAAACGATCATTTTTCATGCATATATCTAACGGTGCTTCGTGGGGCCCCGAGATAAAAGTTTTCAGTCTCTCAGAGTCTCTGAAAGCGAGACTCGAGTTTCTGTCTCTCATCGAGTCGCTCAGAGAGACTGTCGAGAGACTGTCAAAAAAATTGTTTAGCGCCTCTGAACGAGAGACTCGAGTCGCTCATAGAGAGTTCCTCATTTCGTATCCAGTCTCTGAACGAGAGATTCGAATCTCTGAACGAGAGACTCGAATCTCCCAATAAATGGTGTCTCATCCATAGACATGGTTAAAATTTTCTAAGTTCAACATATTTCAGAGATCCCAGTCTTTCTACGAGAGATTCGAATCTCTCATAGAGAGATCCTCATTTCGTATCCAGTCTCTGAACGAGAGACTCAAATCTCTCAATAAATGGTGTCTCGATAGACATGGTTAAAATTTTCTAAGTTCAACATATTTCAGAAATCCCAGTCTTTCTACTAGAGACTCGAATCTCTCAATTTTTCAGTTTTATTCATTCAGTCTCTCTGTGAGAGACTTGAATCTCTGAATTAACAATTTTATCGTTCGAGTCTCTCATACAGAGACTGTGAGAGATCCATAAAAACACCTAGGCAATAACTGAGAGACTGTGAGAGACTCTCTCAGAGACGTTGAAAGACTCTGAGAGGCTGGAGAGAGACTGAAAATTTTTGTCTAGGGACACCCTGTATAATTCGTTGCGTTGTAATCAGAAATTAATTACATAAGTAAGCTGTTAGGTATTTTCACCCACGTCTGAGATCCAATTTGTCCTTTTTATTGTCTATTAAATCGCGATACAGCATCTGAACCTTTTATATATATACGTATACCAACCACCCTCTGAATTGTTTATCCGATTTAGTGTTTTTAATAAAAGAATGAGATTACTTTAATCTTAAATTACGTTTTCTCCTCGAGCTTGCATTTTACCACTGCTTTGCAACGTGTCGTTATAGATTGAAGAAAAAGTGAAAGCAATTATTGTATTTTATTTATAACCGCATTTTCGTTTCTTTAGAACCACTTTGTTTATATTTTAAGCATTTCGAATGGCTACCAAAGTATTTAGAATGAAATGATATTGTTCTTGGAAATTTTATTTTCTTTTGAACGGCTTTTTTTAAAGAAATTTACGTAAGATCAAAAGAAAATATTTTATACGAAGATACTGGCGATAAAAACGCCGCTTGAAACCAAGAAAAAATTATTATTTGACACAAAAAATAAATGCGAAGATGGAAATCTGAAAATAATTAACTTTTGATAATTAAATGTGTAAAGCCTTTCTTCGATATAATAGCTTATTTTTCGTGACAAATTAATTAATTCACAAGACTGTTTTGGCGTAGAATTAATGTTATGTACATAGTAGTTAAATTAAAAAACAAAATCATTTAGGCCTCGATCTTAATTATATCTTAAAATATCCGATTCACAGTTGGCCATGAGTCTTTGAAAAGTCACCAATCTTTTTAAAATCATTTTTTTTTTAAAGTACAGACACAAAAATTTTAAAAATTATGATTTCCATTATTTTACTTCGTACAATGTAAATTTCTTGGAAGGGTGAGGATTGGGGTGTAGTGTGGGTAGGTAGGATGTAAGGGTGTAGTAATTAACGTACAATGGCCCAAGGGAATAATTTATTTAAGGGCACACGTCGTAAACACCGCTCAAATATTGCGACGGCGTATAAAATTAACAGAAATTAAGCGACAAACTTGTCCAACTTCGTTAATTTCAAAATATAATGATCACATTATGATTACCAGTTGAGCCCGTTCAAATTTGGGTGGTTGCCGGTGTCGAATTTCGTAATTCCATGTATTGATTAGACGTTTAATAATCAGATAACTCGTAACGTAATATCGTATGATCAGAGGAGATAGCTGCGCCTATTTCCATAACAAACCCGTCTACGTACGCTAGAAATTTACCTCACTGTCTGCAGCTTCATATTATGTACAATTTTGTACATTAAGTACCAAAAATGGTTTATTATAGGTACAATAGAACAAGATATACTTAACCAGTTTTAAAAATATTTGAAAAATGCTCTTTGAAATAAAAAATGGAATGTTATTGATAGGAAATATATTTGATTTACAAACAAAAAAGGGTATATATGGAGTCGCTTTTTTTATTTTATAAATGCTATCCCACATAAAAGAGGCATGAATATTGAGAGCTTGTTAACGGTTTACAACGCAATCTGACCCCGGGATTGTTTTTCTTTTTTATAAAAGCGCTTTTTATTATCGTCCCAATTTAAATCAACCGACCATACGATATTGACAAATGGCATCGTCGTATTATCTGGCTTCAAAATCAATCTGTATCGTATGTAAAGGTGTGCTCAGACTAAGCGAACAAGGGTGTGAACGAAAAGGTAGTGAAGGTGGAAGCTGGACAAGAAGGGGGGTCACTTAAAAGGAGTTAATTAAATACAGTTTTCGATGTTGATGTATAATTTTATACATATTTAATTTAAGGAGGGGGCGACATATTAATTTAGGACTTTATTACAACAGGGCTTAATGTCGGGAGGGAGTTTTAAATCGGTTTAAAAATGCGTCAGATATATATGTGGACACGTAAAGCAGGTTAATAAGTTATTCACTCTCATCAGCACGCCATGTGCATTCTCGTTACTCTCGATAAATTACTAAGTTCACTAGATAGCGATATACACACTGTCTGAAGTATCATCTCCCTTTTGGGGAATATCTTCGATTTGGCAAGTAACTTACCGAGACTGTCTCTGGCGTGATGATGAGATCAAATAAGGTCGATATCGCGATTTTTGTCTGGTGTTTCAATTAACTACAGACCAAGAACTTAAACCGTTCTTAAGGATTATTTACTATCATCAGATATTTTGTGATGGCGTATTGAGGATTCAACCTATTATAGCGAGCACGAGTGTGTTAATGTGCGATCGGGCACACGTGTGCGTGGACGGCTTATCGATTCGCCGACTTGCCGCGGGAGCCTTTATTCATGTGCGCCGTTTTTGTAAATGTGTGTGTCGTACCTGCGTTCTGGGAAAGCAGTTAAACAGTCTAAAGAAAAAATAAACGATCCGGATGTTTCTAGAGGGTTCCAGAAAGTAAATAAAAGATTTTAAGATAAGATATTTAAAGGAAGAGACGATCGCCGCGAAAAAGGAGAAATAAATTGACAGTGATAGCAGTGAAATAAATAGCGCAGTGAATAGTGATATATCAACAGTAGTGTAAATAAATAGAATAATTCATAACCTAAGTTTAGTAATAATTCAATAGTGTTTTTAAGTTCTTTAATAATTAGTGTAAATAAATAGTTTTTGTCGTCTTCAGCCTTAGAAGTTAATTTTGTTAAACCCACGAACATTACACTATAAATATTCTACTGCATGCTATCATTAAAGGGTGGCATCGTCTTTTGAAAAATACAACGTGATGTAAGAGAGTTTGTAGAAATGTCTTCAGGCATCTTTTCATATTAATAATGAAGTAATGTATATTATCTTCATTGTACTGTTTACGAGGAACAAAATTAATAAGCAACTTTATTTGCCCGGCAGTTTTCCCCTTCGTAGCTTTGTGCAATAGCAAAGTCGATAATAAAAACGTGGCAAGACTTATAAATTCTGAAAGCCTAATTAACGATGTTTCCAACTTGTCGACTTCATTCCGCACCGATTAGTAAGACACCCTAAGGCGAATGCTAAGTGCAGACGTTAGAAAAAAAAGAAAGAATTCTGAACCGATTAAAGAAAAACCACCACCAAAGAGAGCTACGTGTCTGGAATATGTAAAGAAGTCGCACACAAAATCGTATTGAGATCAAAGTTGGGACATGCTTATACATTTTTATTGTGTCTATAAACGACATGGTGCAAATATTTATGGATTATGTTGACTCATGAGTCTGTAAGCTAAACTCTTATACGGTTTAAGGGGTGTAAAATACTAATGTTGTAGGGTTACGATGATTAAATCACTTAGTATTAATGTTTTGCATTATTGGGTATTTAAACTTAGCGGGAGTTTCGGTACTGCATCTTTAAAGGGGGGGGGGACAATTGCCCCTTCCCCTCTGAGTCCGTCCTTGGCGCATGAGTCAAATTCACTTAACTTGTAGGATTACATATACAGGGACAAAAGATTAGTATGCTTAGATTTGCAGATGATATAGCAGTACTAGCATCTAGCAAGGAGGAGTTAGAGATAGCTTTAAATAAAATGGAAACGGTATTGACAAAACAGTACTGTATGAAAATAGATAAAAGTAAAACAAAAATACTGATATGCAAGGGAAGAAAAAGTAAGGAAGGAGCGAATATAAAGATAGGAGATGAAAAATTAGAAGAAGTGGCCGATTTTAGGTATCTAGGAAGTCAGATAAGAGTCAGGACGAAAGGAATAGTAGGTATATAAAGCAGTGGATAGCGCAGGGTCGAGTAGAGTCGCCTTCAATAAAAAGAAGTCACGTCTATGCTCGCGAACGATTAATTTAGAAACTGGAAAAAGATTGTTAAGGGTGTATGTTTGGAGTGCGGCGGTGTACGGGTGCGAAACATAGACGGGGGGCTCGGTGGAAAATAAAGTTTAGAAGCATTCGAAATGTGGTGTTACAGGTGAATGATGAGGATACCGTGGATAGAGAAGCTTAGACATGAAGAGGTATTAGAAAGAATAGGAGAACAGAGGACTCAATGGAATTCAACAAGATATAGGCGAGGTAGGTTGGTAGGGCACCTTCTCAGGCATGACGGTCTAGTCACAAACATATTAGAGGCAGAAACAGGAGTTAAGAGGAGAAAGGGTAGATCTAGATTAGATTACTGTTCGCAAATAGTTAAGGATCTGGGATGTTTTAGTTTTAGGGAAATGCGAAGATTAGCTCAGGATAACAACCAGTCTTAGGACTGACGACCTTATGACCTTATGATGATGGTGATTGTTGTAATATTGCTTTTTAACATCTACCTGGATTACTGTTAACAGCCTCAACGGCTACAGGGAGGGCTCCTAAAACCACCTGGGACTTTCCATACGCCCCTAGAAATCCAATTGTCACAGTTTCGGACTCATTGTCCCACTCGTCAATGTTACTGAAGAAGTCCAACGCACTAAAGTTTTCGATACAGTCCTGCGAATTGGCGATAACATGCGAGGTCACTGTGTTTTTGTAAACGTTTCTGCTTCGTAAGCATAATACTATAAGGATCAGGGACAGTTTTATAATGTTCTTTTCACTTTTGTAACGTATTAACATTTTTTCTCTGTCGTCAGATTTGTTTCGAACTTCTTTAATCGTAACGCATGTTCAGGTAAATAGCAGACAGAAAATTGTAGCTCTATTTTTATTTCTTCTTTTTATTTTATTTTTTTTTTGTACAGTTCGCTTTTATGTCAGTTTTTACGATCAGAGTAAGGTGAATTACAACGAAACCCCAAAAAACGATTCTACGTAATTGCAAGCCATCGATGTCTGCTTGCTATTTTCTAATATGGAAATCGCCAAAATAATTTTGTTCATGTCATAGTTTGTTTCTTACTTTAATGGTGGCGATAATTATACATAAATTGTGCAAAAGAAAAAACAATTTACCCTCTTAATTTAATCTTTCCTTTTTTAATTAGAAAATGTCAGGGGCGTATTAATAGCACCACGAGAAATTTAATTAGTTTTTTTTTTCACGCCGTTATAAAGTGAATTTCTTTGCGAAATATTAATAGAAAGTTTACCGAGAATTACCCTAAATATTTAGATGTAGCGTTAGTTTTTAATTGAAAGAAGAAACTGATGAATAATTGCGAAATACGTAACAGTAGTAACATTTATTTTTATCACTTTAAAAGTTCACTGCAGATAAGTGCACCTTGATTTAGTTAGTGTTTAGTTCATACATCAAAAAAATGAGAAAGTGGTCACAGTACGCTGGGTTCAAAGGACAAACTAAAATTTTAACTTGAACTCTCGCGCTTTTATGTTTCTATAGAAACAACAGAGACGCGTCTCATTTTCGCGCTCGCTTGATTTGTGCGTGCTTCGGAAAATTCGTCCGTTGTTGAATAAATAACCGAAGGCTCAGATTGGTTGAGATATTTGATTTTCTTTTTTTTTTTTCCAAGTCTTTACGAAAATATTGTCGTTTACGTGATCCAGTAATATTGAAACTTAGCAAGGACAGGGAATTTCCTTTAGTTGCTCTAGTTGTTTATTTTAAGGATCTAACGATATGTGTATGTGTATTATTCGATTTGAGGAGTTTTCTTGACATACAGTACACGGATTTACATTTATATCATATATACTTTAATTCTAATTTCTCCATTTGTCTAACTCCAATTTATACTTTCGAATAGGAAAGGTGGGGGGGTCCAAAAAATGTGATATTGTAAGTGACTCTAAGACCATTCCTTAACTCGAAGTTTCTCTAATGCGACATAACTTTGTTTTTGTGCAAAATATTGGGAAATAAAATTTAGCAGTTTTTGTTCCTTTTTCATGGAAAATATCAAAANTATATATATATATCCTATAAAGTGGAGTTTATTTGTCATTTTATTTATTACTTAGGCAGGGACTTAAACAATAATTGTTAATTTCTGAAAACTCTATACTTTATAGTAATCAATTTCTGTATTTATTGGTTAAAAATTAATATCAAAGAATCGATTATTGAATATCGTATATATGCTTGTCACATTGCATAAATTATTCATATTCAAAAGAATTTTAATCTTCTAGCTAAATATTACCTCCAGAATTTGCAATTCCCTTATTTAGGAACTTTTATGGTGGGGGTTTTGGTTCGGGCCTGTTGTACATTTATTATTCGACACCCTGTAATATACTTCTCACACTGTATTCTGACTAAATAGCGGCAATACTGTCCTGATTTGCTTTAATTATTTTTAAGGAATTTTAAATAAGAAATATAAAATAAAACACATTTTAATTATCCTCAGTTTATATATTTCAAAAAATACCTCTTTAATATCACATTAAGTCTTATCTTACAACAATTAAGTATTTGTAAAAATTATTAAAAGAATTGTACTATTTTATAAAAATTTAATTATTCTCATTTTCTGTCTCCTTTCTTCTGATTAATTGTTTATCATTCATAATCGAACCAGGTTTTAAAACTTAATGCACAATAATCAACATTATGCCAGATTTATAATTATTATAATACAAATCATTTAACGAATGCTTCGGGAGGAACAGTTCCTTGTTTTTGTAATTCGGTGAAAACAAACACAGCTCTCTCAAAATTCCAATCGGTTTCTTGCAAACATCTGTAACCAAACAATTTCTAATGAGACATAATCATATGATAATAAAAACAAGACTTCGATTAATTAAAGATCATTCAATCAATATTGAGTATTTCTTGTTTCACTAAGTGACCGAACACTGGATAATTTCTACAACGTACTAGTAAACTAATAAATATATAATATTAACATACTTCTGTGACCAATCCAAATTCATCCCCGACTGTTGAGCCATCGCCTGAACCATCTGCTGTTTTACGGCATCGTCAGGTATTGAAGTACTAGGTGGTGTGGTCACTGGGGTGTTGGGAGGTGCAGGAGTTTGTACCGGCGGCGCCGGAGCCGGGGTTCTAAATGCAATCTAGCAAAAAAACAAATATAGTAATGAAGGATTATCTTAATTCTTATATGAAGTTATTCGTACCTTTCTTTGCTCTTCAGTGGCATTAGTAACATGCAGCATCTCGTTTAAAATACAGAAGCCCGATCCTGCAGGTATAATAACGAAAGTTCTACAAAAGTAGCGGATGGGAGGCATTTTGTGACCGCTATGTAGTTCCTTATAAAGACCCGTGAATGTTAAATTAATTAGCTGAGGCTGAAAAGAAAAAACTAATAACTCAGATGCTCCTATGGGTTTACGAATAAGTTACTACTGTCTGGGATTTACTTTTACTTATCTCTAAAATATTTAACGTTAATTCTTTTTAAACTATTACAAAAAAACTATGCTGACATTAACTTACTGTAAAGAGACACAAGTCTACGGTGAAACTATGAATGTCATGTTTTGTTGCAGGCATGTCGTTCAGAAACGAAACAACGGCCAAATGGCCCTGTTTAAGAAGTCTCATGCGTCTGTCAGAATCTGTCACTCTTAATATGTTCCTGTTATCCGTCAAATACCAATTGAGCCAGCTCGAGTTTTTCTGATGCTGCCCGTACGGATAAGCCATCGTCATTGACAGGGTGGCCTGTTCATGATATGCTTGCAAAAGTGGTTGTCTTGTTTCACCATCGAAGATCTGGATGTATTGTTCGAGAAATTGTCGCACGATTCCTTGGCCTTCCGCATTGCACAGGAACGTCTGCTGGGAGGTTGGCAATGGTACCTCTTCGGATATGTCAAAACTGATGGGAGGGGGTAAGTCCACACCGTCCTTAATAAACAACGCATTTATTTAATAAGTGAATAACTCATCGTATTAGTGATAAATTAATATGAGAGACCATATTTGAAGTTTATCGAAAAAAAAAAAACGTTTTACTAACACTTACCAGTTTCATGACCTTGGGGAACCTCTTCCTTACTTCGCTGTAGACAAAATAATATAGGGAGCGAAATTTACCGCCCCAAATAAAGACCATTAGCCTGTTTTTGCATTCCTGCTAACACTCTCAACCACAGTTGCATTTACATAAAATATACACGAAGAGGGCAACAAATAAGCATGTTAATTAAACAAAAAACAAAAAAAAACAGTGCATCAAATTTTTTGCTGTTCATAAGAGATTTTTATTTATTTTCCCACTAATACGTTGAGGTTTGAACAAAAAGAAAAACTAAAGTTAAATTAATGTAACAGGAAAGTAATACTAATAGTATACCACTTTTTATCTTTCATTTTTTTCTTTGCTAATGTTAAATTATACATTCAAATTTTTTTGTCTTTATAAATCACACATAAATTAGCAATTTCTATTTAATAATAGACATGACAATATTTATATTGAAAGTCCTTGTAACAGACACTTCTCAGTTTTTTTAGAAACAAATTGAATTTTCTCTTTTCAGTTCTTTTTTTTTGTATTTGGCAAAGAGAGTAACAAAATTAACACATTTTATTGTTACTTATACTGCATTTTTGCACCTATTGTTCCCATTCTGCTATGTTTTTTTCCATTCATAATTTCGTGATGATTTTTTGCTTCTTTATTCTTGTTCTTCGACGTTTGATGTTTTCTTTGTCTTCTTAGTGAATAGCACAATCTTGCACTGCTCATTCACCAGTAATAACAATAATTTACTGTTATATTCACACATACAGCATTTAAGGTGCAACACAGCAAGTATTTTTGCGTAAATTGCTACTCTCTACAAAATACGTTTCTTTTTCTTTCATGTTTTGATTTGAAGGGTTTTTTTTCTAGTCCATTTATTACCCTTTTTTCTGTAATCAATATTATTTTGTACGTTTGCTACAAGGAACACAACAAATTTATACAATGACTATTTTTTTTTTTTGCTTAAAATATGAATGTACTAATGTATGCGTGATTTACCTTCTATTCCTGTCATTTCTTTCTACTTCTTTTTTTTTATAACAAAAACGTTAATGAAACAAACAAAAATAATAAACGTAAAATAAAAAGAGCTAAACACAAAATACATAAATGAGCATAATTTTTTTGTTCAAATCTAAACGTATATCGTTATTAAATGCTTACGTGTATGTCATTAAATGCAAAAGGTCAGCAGTAAATAAAGTAAAAATTCATTCTCTTCACAGTATTTTGAAATCTTTTTCAAAATTCATTCCAAGTTGCTTACTAGAAGAGCAAAAATTTTCTTTAATTATACGATTACCTGATGTAAGTTTCTTGATTCTTGTATTTGTCACACAAAGGATTGCCATCTAGGACCACATCAACGAGCGGCAAACCAGATAATGCGTCCAACATTGATATATCCTTTATCTAAATATTTCACAGAAAAATTAAGGACATATGTTTTAGGTATAAATTAATATTTATTACCTTGTTGTTTCCAATGTGGAGAATCTTTAAATTTGGCAGTTTAGTGTTTAGTTTCTTTAGGTGACTAAGCACATGTATCCTATTATCATATAAATTTAATGCTTCGAGATCAGGTATATTTACAGAAATTATATCAATTGCAGTCAGTAGTATGATAGGTTTGAAAAGAGCACAAAACACATCTTGTAAATCAGGATCTGCATGAAACTTGGTCAAATCTAAAGCCCTTGTGGCAGCATTGTATCTTTTGGCCATTGCAAGTTTCATTTTCTCTTTCATTGATTCGTTTATATCAACCACATTGGGTGATCCAGTATTAACCTTTATAATCATATTAAAACCATCAGGATAACGGATTTGGCGGTCTAAATTATTAAGTTTTTCAGCCACTTTATATTCATCAACATAAAATGTTACCACGTTCCTTTCAGATGTCCACTAGAATATTATGAGTTACAAGATACACTTAAATATATAAATAATTTAAACTCACCATAACTGGGTACAATGTAAGTGGACTAACATGGTCCATTAATAATTTTAAAATAAAATTCTTTTCATATTTATGACCATAGGGAATCTAAACAAAATGTAGTAGGATCAGTTACATGTATTCATGTTTCAAATCGTTTAACACTTACTGTAACCCTGAACCAGCCCACTGGACTATCTAGCAGTTTCCTTTTGGCCCCCTTTGGTGGAGGAGTACCACTGCGACCTTTACGTCTAAAATTTTTTGCTGAAGTAAAACCACCACCGCTACCGCCCATATCAACATCTTCTTCTTGAAAATGAGCTTCTAATGATGCGCTCCAATTACGATTATTCTTTCTGCCATGTTTACTATGTTTGAAAGTGACCCTTCTGTCTCCTCTATCGTCATGTTCTGAAAGAAATTAGAAATAATACTGCTTGCCTACATAATTTAGGTTTTTCAAATTACCTCTGTACTGGTTTTTCCATGATGTAAAGTGCTGATGGTTCCCTTTCGACGACTTGCCTGGCTTAGGCATGTTCGAGGAAAAATCCTTAATTATTAAAAGTTTGGCGTCACTTGGTAGTCGGTTGTTTAATTCAACTGTATCTGATGTTTATTTTATGAATATTTGTTTAGTAATCACGATAAATTGTCACAAATTAATCAAATATATGTTTCACAAGTACCAAGCCATATGACAACAGCAGTATTAATTGTTTAGGGAGAAATATGCTATTCGTTTTGGGCACTGCCAACATAAAATCTTCGGTACTCAGTGGTAGTGTTCTATTAGTTGCGCTCATTTTTGTAGATCTTTCGAATAATTGGTTTAATTTGCTTGTGTTATTTTGTTTTACAAGGTATATATGGATTATAAATTGTTTACTAGTAAAGGCAGACGTTAAAAGCCATATTACGTGCAAATTATTCTTAAATAGCTATTAGTGATGCATATTTTCGAAAGTGAAATTGCTTGAACGCATCTTAAATGTGCAGGTTTATAGTGATCAATGCAGGAACTTTTCAGCAAATAAAAGTTCCTAAATTAGTGCGGGATGTGTTAACAAAGTAGGAAAGTGTGTCTACTTTTCTCGGAACTTTTCTTTAGAAAAATCCTGTGTGTTAAATTTTTAATATTACTTGACGTGGCGTCACTTCTTGGTGAACAGAATATTCAATAAGGATTGTGTTTTATAATTGGGTTTGAGAACTTATTCCAAAATGTCTGGCATTGCTGCAGCAAGGTTAGCTGAAGAACGTAAAGCTTGGAGAAAAGAACATCCTTTTGTAAGTGCTTATTTTGAAAATTGTATCAATAGGATATTTTAAAAACTAATGTACTTTTAGGGATTCGTTGCGAGGCCTTCAAAAAACCCGGATGGATCATTAAATTTGATGAACTGGGAGTGTTGTATTCCTGGCAAAAAAGGCGTAAGTAAAACTCATACTTATTCATTATAAAAGTAAGATTTAAATAAGTTTCTTATTTTTAGACACCATGGGAAGGTGGTCATTACAAATTAAGAATGATATTCAAAGACGATTATCCAAGTAGTCCACCAAAATGCAAATTTGAACCCCCACTCTTTCATCCCAATGTTTACCCATCCGGCACAGTTTGTTTGTCGTTGCTTGACGAAGAAAAAGACTGGCGACCAGCTATCACAATTAAACAAATATTACTTGGTATCCAAGACCTTTTGAATGAGCCAAACGTTAAAGATCCAGCTCAAGCTGAAGCATACACTATTTATTGGTAAGCTGCAGGAAAGACAGTCAAATATTAAATTAATATTTTTCTTTTTTATCAGTCAAAACCGTTTGGAGTATGAGAAGCGAGTAAGAGCACAAGCCCGAGCTATGAACCAACAAGAGATATAAGTATTGAAATGTTTGCTCCTCTATAATTGGTATTGTATTTTTACTACTTTTAACAGGAAATTCATTTCTTAATTCCCATGTTGTATTTTCTTGAATAAGGACTATATAGTAAATATGAAATGATTACGTTTAGTTTTGTAAGATCTATGTATCAGTAAATTTGTTCAAATAAAATAAGGTAATTTATAAGTACATTCTTATTAAACATAAAGAAACATCTGTTTTTAATAAACTTTAACATATAAAAACGCTCTTTGTTTTTCTCTTGCCATTTACAATACCCTTAAATGTTCTCTAACTCTGAATTTAAAAAAGTTCTGCAACATGCATTCATGGGAATCTAAACAAAATGTAGTAGGATCAGTTACATGTATTCATGTTTCAAATCGTTTAACACTTACTGTAACCCTGAACCAGCCCACTGGACTATCTAGCAGTTTCCTTTTGGCCCCCTTTGGTGGAGGAGTACCACTGCGACCTTTACGTCTAAAATTTTTTGCTGAAGTAAAACCACCACCGCTACCGCCCATATCAACATCTTCTTCTTGAAAATGAGCTTCTAATGATGCGCTCCAATTACGATTATTCTTTCTGCCATGTTTACTATGTTTGAAAGTGACCCTTCTGTCTCCTCTATCGTCATGTTCTGAAAGAAATTAGAAATAATACTGCTTGCCTACATAATTTAGGTTTTTCAAATTACCTCTGTACTGGTTTTTCCATGATGTAAAGTGCTGATGGTTCCCTTTCGACGACTTGCCTGGCTTAGGCATGTTCGAGGAAAAATCCTTAATTATTAAAAGTTTGGCGTCACTTGGTAGTCGGTTGTTTAATTCAACTGTATCTGATGTTTATTTTATGAATATTTGTTTAGTAATCACGATAAATTGTCACAAATTAATCAAATATATGTTTCACAAGTACCAAGCCATATGACAACAGCAGTATTAATTGTTTAGGGAGAAATATGCTATTCGTTTTGGGCACTGCCAACATAAAATCTTCGGTACTCAGTGGTAGTGTTCTATTAGTTGCGCTCATTTTTGTAGATCTTTCGAATAATTGGTTTAATTTGCTTGTGTTATTTTGTTTTACCAGATATATATGGATTATAAATTGTTTACTAGTAAAGGCAGACGTTAAAAGCCATATTACGTGCAAATTATTCTTAAATAGCTATTAGTGATGCATATTTTCGAAAGTGAAATTGCTTGAACGCATCTTNAACTGTGAATGTTGTATATAAAGGCATTCTGTAGTATATTTAGTATGTTCAGGGGGTATCTTTTGAAGATTTCCCCTTTTCGATAATAATCTAAACAAAACAAAAATATATTTAGTATCAGCATTGCACCCGTGCGAAGCTGGGGCGGGTCACTAGTAAGAAATAAAAACAACTCGTATAAAAAGTAAGTGAAAACGTTTTATTATTAAACAGTTATTACGTTCACGCTTTGAAACGTATGTATTAAAATATAATAGAAACTTACAAAGTTTATTAAAATTACTCAATTCAGTTAACGCTAAAATATTAATCGGATGAAAAAAAATAATATTTATTACATAATGTTATTTCGCGAATCACCTACACGTTATTATCTTGTAATTAATTAATTGTTTCATTTTCTATAACCGTTATTTCTAACTTCGATCACCACAGGTCCACTTCTACCACTACTTTCGTAGAAACCCTTCCTTTCGTAGGTCTCGTAACGGGTGGGTTGTGGGGGCGGCGGTGGCTGGTACCTGGAAGTACTTTTTGTGACCATTTTCTTTTCTGTCGATTGAATCGTCTCCAATCCTTTGCCCCCTCTGGCCGGGAGAGTTTTCCTACTAAAACTCTCCACCGTATCTGTAACGGTTGATTTGTTTTTATCGTTGTTTTCGGTTGTTGTATGATAAGTTTCAGAAAAGTCGGTGCTTGAGTTGCTGCCCCTCCTAGTAATAACAGTTCTGCTGTTCGGAGTGTAGCTCTTTTCTATGGTGGTGGTAACATTGTTCGTTGTGTCCCGTAAACGCGTCGGGGGCTCGTAGATGTCCCCGTAGTAGGGCTTGGAGGGTGCTGCACTGATGTAACCCCTGGAAGACGGCTTGTGAACCGAAAGTTCGTCGTTTTCGTGAAGGGTCCTGTAGAGATCCGGCGCTCTTTGACGAAGATCCTTCAGAAACGTCTTCTGTTTATAATCCGGGGATGATTCACTGTAACCGTTTCTAGAGAAACGATTGGTGCCATTCAGGGTGCTGAAGTTGGTTCTATTACGCTCGAGACGTTCGTCGATAGGTTCCGATGTTAGATCGCGTTGGCTGCGGCTTATGCTTGTTATAAGGCCTGGACTTTTCAAACCTATAACAATAAATATTTAGTTATGGACTATATTTTTGTGGGCGGTTCTAGTAGTCAGTAGTCAGTCTAGTAGTAGTGTTCCCTTAGGGCTTTTTAAATAAAAAAATATATATTATCTGTCGTTATTTGGAACGTCTGAGATGCTCAGAGGGATGAGAAAAAGTTAATACACTTGGTGAATTGGGCTCATTAAATTTGATGAACTGGGAGTGTTGTATTCCTGGCAAAAAAAGGCTCAGAGGGATGAGGATAAGTTAATACACCTGATGAATTGGGCTTTTCTAGGATTACATGATATTTACAGATGCTTTAGTCCAGATTACAGGTACATGTTTAAGAGGGGTGGGGGCAGATTGTAGGAATTTACGTATAATTTACGTTACCCAGAGGGGATTCGTTAATCCTGTTTAGGTGAGGGTTGCTCTGGTACATGCTGGTCCGTGTTGGTCCGTCCAGGTCCACGTTAAAGCTTTTACTTCTTGATAAAAAAGTCCTTGCTGGTTTTGCCGGTGGGGTACCGTTTGAAATGTATTTTCCTGTATTCTGATGATGAGTTGGATTCGAAACTGTGTTTATTATCGAAACGTTGATGGTACTATCGGTCTTATCGTGTTTATCCAATCTTGACGATTGATCGTTTCTAGAAATGAAACAACAGTTTGTAGATTACTGTTTTTTGACTAACAAAATTCCCAATTACTTCTAAATAAAAAACAAATTTAGTTTTTGAAGTGTTACTAGAGCAGTTGTTAGAAATTAGAATGGCTTACCTTGAAGAGTGTCTGGGTAATGTTTGCGAAACGCGCTCGTCTCTCCTGGCCGGATCGAGTCGACTGGTAGATTTACTCAATCTGCCAAGAGTGCTGTGAGATCTAAACAAGTGAATGTTTCGATAGGAAAAAAATAATAAATAGATACGAACAAAAAAGGAAATTTGTTTGGTCTGTTTTTTAACATAACTTATTTTATACATGGAACAGGATCAAGTGGGAGGATAGTAGGCCATGGCTGACATGTCCCACGCATTTTTTCTTGATTATATATGGTCAAGGACAAACACCTGACGATTTATATGTAATTTATTTATTGTAATAGTTTGCGAACAACCTGAAAATGGTAAAATATGGAAAGAAGTTTACTATTTTAAGGCATGGACTGATTTATGAAACAAATTCCATTGGTCTTTGTAAACTAAACATTTAAAAACTAATTTATTTTTATCTTAGTAGAGTAAGTGGAAGTTAGATCGCCTGATTAAAAAAAAAATGCTAATATGGGTCGGGTTGGAACACTAAAAGATGTGCAGTGAGAAATTGTAATCATAACCAGAAATTATTTTTCTCGACTCGACCCTGCGCTATCCTCTGCTTTATATCCCTACTAGTCCTTCCGTCCTGACTTATCTGACTTCCTGGATATCTAAAATCAGCCGCTTCTTCTAATTTTTCGCCTCCTATCTTTATATTCGCTCTTTCCTTACTTTTTCTACCCTTGCATACCAATATTTTAGTTTTACTTTTATTTATTTTCATACAGTACTTTTTTGTCAGTACCGTTTCCATTTTGTCTGAAGCTATCTCTAGGTCCTCCTTGCTAAATGCTAATACTGCTATATCATCTGCAAATCTAAGCATACTAATCTTTTGCCCTTGCACATCTATCCCTACAGTTGTACTGTCTTTAATGATATTGATCGCGTCTTCGATGTATAGATTAAAGAGTAGCGGTGACAGTGTGCATCCCTGTTTGACTCCCTTCCTAATATTTACTTCTCTACGTTGCAACCCTACCTCTATAACTGCCTGTTGTTCTTTACACAAACTAAGTATCACTCTTCTATCTATGTAACTCATCCCTACATTTTTAAGTAGGTATATTTAACATCTTGTCATTAATGTCTAGCTCAATAAAAAAAAAATAATCTATATGATGATGTGAAATTTATGTTAACTAACTGCGTGGTTTTTGCTAGAAAGGGATAAAATCGAAAATAACAAAAAGGCTAGTATAATAGTAAACAAAAAATAATAAATAAATGGCAGTACTTATTTGTTTACACATTGAAGTACGCACATTATCATGTGTGTATTGACAATTATCATAAACTATTGTGTGGGTTGCATTGGTAAACATTACCATTTTTAGTACAAAAACAAAAATTATTATTGTGACTTAATTATTATGTTGTTTTGTCACCTCTATTTTAAAAGGCGTGAAAAGTATATTCAGTAATTGCTCTCACAATCAGTTGCTTTCTTACGTTTCTAGAGCGAAGGTATAGGTAACTACTCGAGTTGAATAAATTTTAGTTGTAAAAATAATTAATTTATCGTGAAACAGTTAAACGTGTTAAAATAGAAAAGGTGATTAAAAGTAAAAGTAAAGTTTTTCGTAACGGTGGGGTATTCCTGTTAGTGCAAAATCAGTGAATTGTGCATGTTTTAGAAACTTTTGATTTTGACATGTGTTTTATAGTGTTTTTATAGAACTATTTTTATCACCTTTATTTTACAGTAGTGCAAATTTATGTTTGTGCAATAACAATTACTATTTTATTTGTTTTTATAATGTTTACAGAACAGTCAAACAAAAACATAAAAAATACTGAGATAAACGAATAAAGAGGAGAACATCTTGAGTATTCAATAAACACAAAACACCTATCATACAGATAAGATAGTCTAAAACGTTTCAATCATTTTCGACAAAATTTTGAAGTATATTATGAATGTGCTTGTTGCATCTAATAAATATTAATATTATTTTCACGAATAATAAATTTAAAAAAAAAATATTTTTACTGAAATAATGTTATTGTAGCGAGCACGAGTGTGTTTGTGTGCGATCGGGAACACGTGTGCGTGAACGGCTTATCGATTCGCCGACTAGCCGCGGACGCCTTTCTTCATGTGCGCCGTATTTGTGAATGTGTGTGTCGTACCTGCATTCTGAGAAAGCAATTTAAAAAAAAAAAATTAACTATCCGAATGTCTCCAGAAGGTTCTAGAAAGTAAACAAAAGAGTATTTAAAGGAAGAGACGATCGCCGAGATAAAAAAGAAAGAAATAAATTGACCATTCCAGAAGTGAGTCGAGAAATAAATTGACAGTGATAGCAGTGAAATAAATTGCGCAGTAAACATATTAATAATTAGTGTAAATAAATAGTTTTGTCGTCTTAGAAGTAAATTTTGTTAAACCCACGAACATTACATTATTTTAATTTGTTCATCATTCGGCCATTTTTACAAAAACTTTTATATGAACTCATTACCATTTTTTAAAATTATTTTATTAATAAT